AAGAGAACAACATACAACTATCTTACATTCAAACTTCAATTATCACCACATCACATACAACTTTCAACACAACATATATAACAATTTCAACGTATCACATTCTCAACATTAACATCAATAATCAACTAAATATGTTATCTAGTATATCAACTACGGAGATCTCCTACAAAAAAAGTGAACAATTTAAGTAGTTAGATCCTACTAAACAACAACATTTGACTTATCACAACCAGATCAAGTATAGAAAATCTTAGGCCTCAAAAAGTGGCAGGTACAAAAATTAAAATATGATTTTTCTGGTTTTACCACTTAAACTAGGAAGTCTAATACTATTTTCAAGATAGAACAACTTGTATATGAGTTTACCATGACATTAGATTGTAACACTAAGTCTCCTATGTAGGGGTGGGTATACGGACGGTCCGGCCCATTTAAGACCCGGTCCGTAAAACCCGCATTTTATACGGGCCGGATAAGTCCGGTCCGTAAAATAAGTGGACTTATTTTTTAAGTCCGTATCCGGCCCGCCAAAATTCGCAGATAATGGACCGGTCCGCGGGCCTAAATAATGGTTCAAAAAAATAAATTTTTAAAAAATAAAAATACATAAAATTAGAAGAAAAAAAATATTTTTTATTTATAAGCTAAATTTTATCATACTAAAATTTATCAATAGTTAAAATGGTTTAAAATACTAAATATTAAAATATTAAAATAAAAATAATTACAAATACTTAAATAATAGTACCAAACTTTCAATAATAAAAGCATCAAAATGTCATAAAAGTAATTCAAATGACAAATACCTACCAACTAAACATAATTTTAATGTCATAATAATTTAAAAAATTAAATACACAACTTAATATTAAAATCATAATATTTAAAAATATTAATTAGTGAAGTCCGCGGACTAGCCCGCGAGCCCGCGGATTAAATCCGCTAAGTCCGCGGACTTCACGGGCTGGGCTCAAAAATTAGACATAGTCATACGGATTTGAAAAAAACGGGTTCGTTATCCGCGAAATCCGCGGACTTACGGACCGGTCCGCGGACCCGGGTCCGTCTACCCACCCCTACTCCTATGCGATTAACTCATCGACTACCTTTCAAATATTATGTATTTTCAGTACTTAGTTAGGAAACTAAGCCTCCGACCTTGTACCTTACTCAATTGGTTGCTTTAATTATACATATATGTCTCAACATTGCATTCATACGAATTCCACAAAAAAGCTAGAAAAGACAACTAATTAAAACAACTACTCATTTAGTAGCCAACTTACTTACTGAAGAGTTTTCAATTAAGTTCTCGAAGCACCACAACTTATATTCACATAATGAGATATTTTATTTTTTAAATTACCTTTTACTTTCCTATATTTTTTTATGTATCTCAACAAAGACATGGATCTACACCATATGTCTAACAACTTAACAACTTAATCAACTATAATATCATACAACTTCACAACTTAGTCATCCATAAATCATTATACATTATCTCAATTCAATGCATAATGAACCATTTACATACAACATTCATCATGTGAAAAAATCATCATCCTTCAACCATTTAATCAACATAAACATCATGTTTTAATCATATAACTCACATTAGGAGCCACCCCCTAGGTACCCAGCATCATTGAGGCAGAGGACTTTCTATCTCGACCACACTCAACACCAAACTACATGTTCCTAATGTGGCTAAGGTAGAGAGAACCTCCAACTCTCTTGTGCCTGGCATGGAAGAAACCCACACTCAGTCTCAAATAGGCAGATGGGTCTCTACTTGATTCAAATTTGACATTAATTCATTGGCGCCTAACATTGATTTAGTTAAGGACAATTTTTTATCTTCACTATTGCCATTCAAAGTTACACCCCACGTGGTCAAGTCAAAGTCAATTCTCTCTCCTCCTACTTGTTGCCACCAAGCCTATTCCCAATGTCAAGAGGCTAAAAACCTTTAATTTCAAGCCACATCCGACACCATGAAAGTGTGCCTAGCACAATGACAATTTTTGCATTTATGCAAAAACTTGATTCGCCCAATCCACCTAAAATCCAACCAAAAATCAACATGCATTGTAGTATACAACATATAAACAAATAAAACACAATTCCATCATCAAAAACAATATGCATTCAATAAAGATAAAGATCATCATACTATGCTTCAAAACCCCATCATAAACTCAACTCAATCTTTCAACAAGAACCCACTCCACAACCAACAATTGATGAATGTAAACAACCAATAAACACCAAAATTCATCCATGATATATTCAAACGCAGAGTTTCCCTTAACTCTAGTCGATCCAAACCAAAAAGAGGAGAAGAGAAGGGAGAAACTACAAAATTCTAACTTGGCATTCTTGCCTCTATATGCTTTGAATCATCAATAATCACTTTGGATTAGTTATAAGGAAAGGAGAAGGAAGGACCTTTAGTATAGAAGGGAGAAGAAGGTTTTGAACTCTAGAAAACTTTTTTCTAGCTTCTCTATAAGATTTCTTAAAAATTAACTTAATTATGAGGTTCACGTCTTAAAAAAGAATGTTATATACTCTTCATTAGTTGAACCAACTTAATTAAACCTAAAACTATCTCAAAGACAACCTAACCTTCAATTCCCTAAACTCTAAGAGCTATAAAACAATCTTCATAACAATACAACATTTAAGTCATATAATTAAATTAAAAACACGTAAAACACATGATATTAACCTAAATCCTTAGAATTTTATAATAATTAAATAATTAATCACAACATCAATTAAATTAATAACATCAACCATTATTAATAAAATTACATAGTGTTACATTAATCAATTTAGGTCAACACACTCAAACTGTGATTGCTAATTACTATTGGTCCATAATTATGGAAATATCTTGGAAATAAAAGACTGAGAGATTCATAAAATTGATTTTCTGAAAAAGATTTCAAACATCTATTTATAATATATAAATATTAAAAACATGCATGAGCTACTAATCTAACTTAATCATAGTTTAGTTGGTATATTATTTTATCAAGTGAAACTTTTAACTTGGATGTAAAATATTTTTTCTAATATATCACTTTCCTTTCGGTCTAATAATTGTATAAACAATCTTATCATCATACTCATTCTCAAAACCATTCTTTCCGGTATCACATTATAATTATGCTAATTACCAAACTTTAAGCATTCATTGGATACTTTAGTAGGGAGAACAAAGTTTTTAAACATCAAAGTTTTAAGCATTTATTTGATTCTTTCCCCCTATCTCTATCTCTAACTTTAATCTTAAAGTCTCAGTCTTTTCAACAATTTAATTAATTGACCCTTCTTCTTTTTTGATAATTACTCTTTTATTTTTTACTAGTGCGTGACAATTATATAATACATGAGAGATTTAATTTTTGTAGTTAGTTACAAATTAGTTCTAAAACCAATTATTTCATGAAATCAAATAATTCATTTTCAAAGAGTTTCATATTAAATTTATCGAATTCAGTAATCTATGATAAGTTGACAAAGAAAATACCAGGCCAGTAGTTGTTTCTTTTTCAATTTAGCTCATGAAAAATTATATTACCTCTAATTTACATATCATTTTATGCTTCAATGAAATATTAATATACAAATAACCTTTTACATGTATAAAAGTTTATTTTTAAAATTTTATGACATAATTAATATAATATTTGTTATCTTTCGTTAAGGGTAATTTCATAAATTGTTGAGTTGGTAAAAAATTAAATGGCTAAGAAAATAGTCCCAATCTACAATAGAAAATGCAAACACATTCAGGAAAATATAGTAATACTTTCTCCAAAAGGGTATAGATCTGTAACTTCAGAAGCAACATCGTCTAACTTTATATCATGCCAGAGCTATAACATTTATTTAAAACTATATAATAAAATAATTTGGTGAAATGCTACTTCTAACAATAATAATTAACTACACCATGTCCTGCATGTATATATTAGTTTTAATTATTTTTAAATTTGTAGTAGCATCACTGTATGCAATACTTATTCTATTAGGAGGAGTCTACTCTTTTTTAAGCAAACATCAACTTTTTGAAAGACACAGCTACTAAGAAACTTAGGATTCAGAGTTAGGAGAGAGAAAGAGAGGGTTTTGCTTTTGGCTTGGCAGTAGGTCACATGGATCTTCTTCAGGATTCAGAGTCAAGTAGTTTCGGTTGTCAGATTAAAATTGGCAAAGGTTATCCTGAAATTTCAGCACCATCACTTAAATTAAATTGTAGTAACTTTTAATTTTTGCAACTTTATCACATTTTCTTTTTTCTCTCTTCTTGGATTGTGTGCAAACTCAGAATCCTACTTCCCCAACCCCACTACCCTTTGTAAACTCCCAGCTAGATTTGGCTCTTTCTTTTCATCCCATAAAACGACACATGCCTCACTCACTGCACCAATTTCATCTCTCGTCAGTACTGAAGTCAGCCACGCTCTTTCATTAGCTCAACTTTCTCCAAACACCTTTTTCCATGCAATTTTTCATGACATGATATCATGCATGATTCCAAAGCACCAACATGAAATAATATATATATATATAAATAATATGTGCTTAAAGAATGCATGCAAACAGAGAATCCTATTTTTAAACGTGGCCCATACTACCTGCCAGAGCTGGAAATCCACTTAGGGGCACGTACATATTTATTAACTATATAATATATGGTATTTTATTTCAACCCAGCAAAAAATATATATATTTTGAAAAACACTAAAGTGTAATGTAATAGGAAATAAGTTTCAACCAATCAGGCTTGGATATATTCTTGTTCTATCTGCGATGGAGTATTCTAAAACTACCGATTAAAAACTAATTTGCATTCATAAAAAGTAATTTTCTAGACACTTAGATCTAATCTTTTGGATTTAATCAAAGAGTAAGAAATCAAGATTTAAATTCCTACTAAAAATAGATATCACATTTAGTTAATGATATTCAAAAGAAGATATATGTGGGTAAACAAATAGGGAAGAAGTTGCACTACTACTCAAAGTCCACCACTTCCTCATGACTTAAGTAAATGTGTTCAAACTTTTTATACACCAATCTACATCATAAACATAAATTGGAAAAACTGGTAAGGAAAAAAGAAGGTTGAGCTAAGGCTAATTAATGAACTTAATTACTTCTCCTCATGATGACTTTCAAGTTTCAACCTCAAATCGTTTTTAGTGTCCAAAATCAATTTCGGGTTTTGATTTTAATGAAACTGGTGCTGCTGATCAGGCCAGGGCCAAAAATTCTGCTGCTCATCAATGTTGTGAAACATGTTGCAGAAGCTCTCATCTTGAAGATCTGATCTTGAAGAGCATTGGAGGAGTTGAGTTATGCTGTTTGGCTTGAGGGAAGTGGGAAGAAGGTTTTTACCATTCTGAGAAGACACGGGACTGTTCATCACTGGTGTTCTTGAGAGATCCAAATTGATGTCTGAACTGTTGTTGCTTCCATTGCTCCAAGAACCCTCAGTTTCTTTTTTGAGGCTAGTTGTTCCGGTTTCACAGCAATCCCTACTTTTTAGAGTTTGTAACTGCAAACACCACCACACAGTGAAAAGTGTAAAACCAAAACTGTTGATCATGTTTCAACACAGGTTTGATTCCCAGCCTTCATGTTTTGTTTGTTCCATGTGAAGGATCAAATGCAACCTTGTCTTTTTCATAGCTAACAACGTGGAATAGTTATAACACAGAGTATTGAATGGAAAAAGGAAAGCAAACATTACTATTAATATGCAGTTCTGAGTTCTGACACTGTCATACTGACACCTCCCAAGAATGATCAACTCACAATCAACAAAAAAGTTAATGACGGAATCAATCATACTTTAAAATTAGTCACTAAGGCATGTGGGATCATAACTCAATCAATCAAATGAAGTTTTCTCACTAACGAGAAGCACCAAAACTCCAAGAAAAAAAATATATCCTCTTATAGTTTACTATATATGTATATATAAAAAGGGCTAGCTTGCTTTCTTCAAACACGAAGATATCAATTACATCCATTGTTGGAGAAAAGTAAGAGCACTAAAACGGCTGAAGGAACCTTCACAAGATATAGCTAATCAAATTCTAGAAAATAAAACTATGGTGGAAAATTGAGAAAAAGCACAACCATGAATAACAAAACTCCATTCCTTTCTTTTCAAAATCAAGTTAAGCATCTCGAATTCTCAATATTAAAAACATGTGGATATTTGGGTCAAGTCAAACTCCATTAGAACTATATGGTCGTTTAATGAATACTGAAAATTTTGAGTGAAGAACGGGACTCAAATATTATCAAATTAACCCCCCAAGATCTAAAAGATTCCAAGTTCTCATTTTTTCAAAGAACCATTATTAGCATGATCCAAAAAGGAACCTTATCCCTACAAACAAGGTTGTTGAAGCAGCGACTTCTTGGTCACAAGACATGTTTGTGATGTTACAAGTATCGAAAACAACAAAACTTAGATGCAATATTGAAGGTATTTCTAATATTATTTTCCTATCAAAATTGAAGTTTCATTACAGTAATCTTTGCTAACCTTTAGTATAAACTGATGTTATTCAGATTACCAAAGTAAAATTGCAATTTTAGTTGAAGAAGAATGATAAGAACAACCAAATAACAGCATCTAAGTTTTATGTTGAAAATTGAATGATCTATTTGGAAGGTGTTAATTTGGATAAAAGTTTAGAATTCAAGTTTAGATGAGTTTCAGAAAGTTTCTCAATCAAAAGAAACTCTTTATTTTCAATAAAGAAATTCTTCTAAGCTTGTATTCAACCAGTACGGTAACTACAAAAGCCATGGTAGCATTGAATTACCTCTGCATGTAGTTTCTGGTTCTGAGCCTTGAGGGAGTCATTATCAGCCTTGACAGCTTCAAACTGCTTCTTGAGCACTTCATACTCCTTCTCAAGCTGCTTGGTCTTCCACCTTGCTCTCCTGTTCTGGAACCATATGGCAATCTGCCTTGGCTGAAGCCCCAAGGCCTTGGCAAGCTGCATTTTCCTCTCAGGCTCAAGCTTGTTCCCTAACTCAAAACTCTTCTCAAGTGCCTTCACCTGCTCCAAACTCAGCCTCTTCTTCTTCTCACCAAGCTGAGATCCATCGTCTGACAACTCGTCGTCTCCATGCACTTCATCGCACTTGTTCTCTATGCCTGAAAACGACATCGACCTCTTCATCATAAAACCTGCACCTGCACCTATGCAAATGAATAAAACCACCTTGTTCAATATTGTAATACATGCTTCCTTTATATGTCTTATTTTTTCAATAAGAAAAAAAAAAAAAAAAATTTTTTTTTTTTTTTTTAAAAAAAAAAAAAAAAATTTTTTTTTTTTTTTTTAAAAAAAAAAAAAAAAATTTTTTTTTTTTTTTTTAAAAAAAAAAAAAAAAATTTTTTTTTTTTTTTTTAAAAAAAAAAAAAAAACTTGTCTTTTTATCAGCTGTCCCGTGTAATTTATCAAATAAAAAGCAATTATTTCAGGAAAAAAAAAAACGGGCTAAGATTATTATACATCCTTATATTGCAAAAATTAAAAATATATATGATCCATGCAACCGAAATCGCGATCGCAGTGCTAAAACTCCTTGGTATTATTGGAAAATTTAGGGTCACAGATCTTTCATTAATATTGTTGATAAATCTGTTTAAATTAAAGCAACCAACTTGTGATCGTGGAAAGCAAAATAATAAAACCTTCGTGTTGTGGCCAAAATAGAAACCAGTTTTAGAAGAATGATATAGAGGAAGAATCTGTTTGGATACAAGAATTCTTTAAAACTCCTCTATTAAAAATAATGAGTTTTTTTTTTTTCTACTAAAAACGTTTCTATCTTATTCAACAAGACTACAAAACATATGAATTGAGTTGGGATTAGAGTCGTGGAGAGTACCTTGAAAGTGATGGGGAGGGAAGGAGGGGAAGGCGTTGAGAGAGGTGGTTGAGGTTGATCGGAGATGGAGTTGGTGGTCATGATCTTCGTGGGTTTGGAACATGAAAGTGTGAGAGGGAGGGAAGGCCATGGTGGGAGGAGAGGAATTGAAGAGGGTGTGGCAGTGAAACTATCATTCATGCAAGGGTAACTCACTCACTCACCTTGTGTGCGTTTGCTACAGGTAGAGTAGAGAGATTTAATTAAGAGGGTGGTGGTGGTGATCACATAGAGCACAGCACAGGAGTTTGGCTCTCACTCTCATGTTGACAGAGTTTTCAGAAAGAGGGATGGTGATGATGATAGGTATGCAGACCGAAAGACAGCGATTTTTAGGTTGAGAGACAGACAGCGGAGAGAGAAAAATAAGAGAAGTGGTGCAAATTCTGTATTATATCAAAATCATATATTACACCTTTCCTCCTGTGGACCCATCCCCTCTCTCTCTCTCTCTCTTGTTTATATAAACACCCTCATATACAGATATTACTTTATTATACTTTAAGGATTGAGAGGTTATATCAGTGTTTAAGTAATAATATTTCTCGTGTTATAATTTAATTTTATAAAGTTAAGTTAGATTTTTAATTTATTTTTTAATGTTATTGAATCTATTGTATTATTTATTATCAAGTTATTATCAAATAAGTTATTATCGAATTATTTATAGATTTTTACAAATTTTATATTTAAGATATTTAATTCTTATAATATGAAAGAAATATATTAAAAATTTAAGATGAATTAAAAATACAATTATAATAGTATATATAAGATTATAAGTAGGAAGTAGTTCTAAAACAGTTTTGTAAAATTTAATTAAACTCTTAATCTACTTTTCTAATATGATTCTTGTATTAATTTGATTATATTACTAATCGACGGAAGATCACATAAAGTTTAGAAACGTGAAATACTATTTTTCATATAATGAGAGAAAAAAAATTAAATATAAAATGTAAAAAATATGATGTAAATGTAATAGAATAAAGATATTATTCTTCAAAAACAATATTACTTATTATAGAGAAAATTATGATATAATAGAGAAAGTCATTTCAAGGATTTCAAATAGTTATATTATGTTATTTATTTATATCATTATATAAAGGATACTCTCTGCTAACTATTTTAATCTTTATTTTTATATGGATCATTTTTTCTTTTTTAAAAATTTAAATCATTTTTTCTCTCAATATCTTTTTGGTCTTAAATAATTTATTTCTTTTAAGTAATTATTCGATTGTTTTCAAAATTATTTTTTTTCTTATAAAAAATAAAGAATAAAAATAAACACAAAGTACCTCAATTTCATTAGTTATAGGTAATAAGAATAGCATTTTTGACTGAAAAAAATATAAATCTTTGAAATGTTTTTCTTTCTCAATTAATTCATAAACCCTCAATTATTTTACAAGAAAATAAGAAAGTGAGTTATGTATAAAGAAAACTATAATGTTGGAATATTTAATTATAATTATAATTATAAGAATTAAATTAGAAGATTAAATTTTGAGTTGAGGAACACGAATTTCATTTAGTACTAGTAATTGTATACAAAATAAATAATTAAGTTCACTTTTAATATAATTATTTCGTAAATAGCATTTTTTAATGTAAAATTGTCTAATTCTACCATTAAACTATACTAATTTTAACCAATTATTATATTATTTAATAAGTTTTAATTAAATAATTTAATCTCAAATTTTTCCATTATTAGACTAAAAATTTCTTTGGTATTGGTCATATTTATAAAATTTTATACTAATATAAAATTATTTTAATACTTCAATCATATACATTAAAATTGACTAATTAATATACACTTTTTAAAGTGTAAGAAAATATAATCATTTTCTTTTTTTTATTTATATATTTTTCAATTTTAACAAACTTGAATATCAATAATAAAAATATTATATAATTATAATTCAATAGTTGAATTGATAAAATTTATATTATATATAAAGTAATTAATTGAATAATTGGTGGTGTAATTTGATGTCTCCCTTATATATTAACTTTTATTTTATTTTAATAATATATATGTGTTATTTTATAAATGAATAATATTTTTAATATATATATATATATATATTCATAAATATATGATTTATATAAAATTTAATATGCACGATTATTAAGATAAGTTAATTTTAAATAAAGTGATATAATGAAATGTGAAAATATATTGTTCATTTTTAAATTATTTTAATTTTTGTAAACATGATCTATTTTTTTAAATATAATTACATTAATAACAAATTATTTTATATATAAAATTCGATACTTGTGTTGGTTGCTTATATATATATAGAGAAGCCGGTGCGTGTGAGGCTGCTTTAAAATATCCTTAACTTTAATATAGAGGATGCACAGAAAATTCATAGATGTGTGATCTGTAACACAAATGGTTTTTGAAAAACTTTAATTTGAAAAATTGTTTAAATTATAACGATGTGCTAATATTTCTTTTTATACACACATGGCTGCTGATTTTTGTATCCTTTAACATACAATATTCATATATGTGTGATCTATAGCACACATTTCCCCAATATTAAAAGGTGTAACTTTTATTCAAATTATGATAAAGCACAAATATTTCTCTCTCTCTTTCTAAATTTACATATATGTATATACTAATAATTGCAGTTGGAGATAAGTTCAACTCCACAAAAACAAAATATTACATAAAAAAATGTCACAAATAAATGAAAATTCAGTTCAAACTCAATGATTCGAGAATGATGTTCCGGGCCATACAAAATAACATATTTTACATATTTTATATGGGATTTTTGGCCTTTTATTGCTCATTATAGACTGGAAATGAGAGATTGGGATCATGCAAGTCTAGTTTAGTTAATACCTGTCCACATCAAAAGAACATGAAATCCCAATATAAAGAAAAAAAGCTTGGTTTCTTTGGAGAGATCTAGACGTAGCTTGATTGTGCTTGACAAATACCATTTACGTATGCATTATTGGGGTGTGTGATGGGTCCAAATTTTCAAATACTTGAAACCAATAGAATTGAATCGATTTGAGAAAGAAAAAAATAAATCATTATTTTATTCACCAGAAATAAAAAGAAACCAAAATTTCTACACTGAAAGGCAGGCCAAATATCTTTTGTTGAAAATGCCAACGTACTTATTTGACAACATATAATTAAGTTGGAATCTTGCCAAATAAAACCCACTTGATTTTTAAGGTAATTAACTTTGTTAGGTCATGCATGTGTGACGAGGAAACCTGGCATTCGGCAACGTGAAAATCCAGAATCCAAGGAGAGAAGTATAATAGAAAATTTCGAAATGCATGCCTCTAGCAGTCATTTTATATGCATCAGTGATGGAACTTGCACTTGGAATTAAATTATTTAAAGCGAGTCTGGCATCTGCTGGATATATTTGGTCATTTTCTACCAAACATGGACTGAGATTTTGGAATATGTTCACTCCAATCCTCAACTGCTATTTCCTTAGCCATGCATGGTAAGAATATAGATTAATTTGATTGTGATCGAATTCCTAAAGTTTAGCGAACCCTTTCAATGAATATAAAATAGAATTTCCTTGTATAGTTCACTTCATAATATTATAATAAGATGTACCAATAAGTTATTAATTAAGATGAAATTTTAAGGAGTCCTTAAGTAAAGTTTTAGATTCAGATGTTGTATGGATAGAAAAAGTATATATATAATTAAAAGAGAAATCTCGTTAAAAATGACCAATTAAGTCTTGAATTCGAATTTTGTAGAAGAAAAAAAAGGTGATTGAGATAAAAGATCTCTTTAAAAATAGTAAGTCAAATTTTTTTAAAAAAACTAATAAAAATACTTCTTACTAATAACATGATTTAAAAAAATATATGAGATATATAAGTAATTATAATTAGGAGTTCAATTTTTAATAAAATACAAGTTTAAAGTGACTTTTAAAATAATTAATACAAAACATAATAAATTTTAGTTATACGTTAATGATTGAACTCGATTGTAAAGAACATTAATAGATATGAGATTAATATATACTTAGATGCCTCTGAAACAATAAACAGAATTTGTTGGTTAATATAATTGGCCTCACGTTACCATATATACCCCACTTTAATTTCTTGGATATATACCAATAATTTATAGTTAGCTATGAGATAGGGAAAGAGGGGAAGAACATATGTGTCTTGAAGGATCAAATCAAATTGAGGGTATCTTTTTTTAGATCACGAATTTGCTAGTTCTCCGGGATCAGTAGTGATGACTCATGATATCATATTCACAAGGACGAAGAGCAAAAAGATTGTGAATTGTGCAATGAATAGAGAGTTGTAAGAGAATGGGATAGAATGTGTCTTTTATCCATTGATGGAGAAATCATTGGGTGCTTTACTTTTCAAATGCTAAGCGTATCTAGGGGAATTGAACTCTGAGGAATCTCACACCAGCTAGGTAGCCTCTCTTTTTTTTTTTTTTTTTCTTTTTTTATAAAAATAAAAATAAAAAATTGAGGTGAATTCAGTTTCACAAATTTCTTAAAAACAAGTCTTATAACTCAAACAACATTTACTGTTTGTATTTCTGTGATCCTATAACTTACATAGCGAGAGTATAAATTTCTTTTTTGAGATATAAAGATTATTGAAGTGGATTTCAATCTTTCTAAGAAAGTCTTTTTTATACATACAATAAGAAAATTAAGTCCTCAACGACATGTTCAAGGAACTTAGATATTTATCCTTATATTAAACCTTGTTTATTGTTATTTCTATTTAAGTTTGTTTTAGTTTAATGCACTGATAAATTGTAGGTTAATTACTCCCTTTAAAAGATTTAAAATAGGTAGAAATTGAATTTTTCTAATATTGCTCAACATTATTATTAGATTTGATATATATATATATATATATATAATGAGTGATATTTTTATTGATATAAGAATAATTATTCTATTATTATTTTAAAATTGTAAATATATATAATTTAACTTTATAAAATTCACTTTATATATTAATAATATCTTAAATACATTTTTATATCTTGAAAGATTAATTTATATCTCTTGCCCCAAAATAGCTTAGATAATTAAAATTAAAAAAAAAAAGTTATAATATGTTTTATAAATTAGTTGGAACAAAATTCTTAGGTGGCAATAGCTAGGTAGGCTCTCTCCACAGTTGCACATTGATTTGTGTGGTGGTGAAAGAAAAAAAAGGGTGGGTACATGATGGGTATCATTGGGCATGGACCCCACCAGGTGTACCTCTCTAGCCTGGCCTACACCAAAGGCTCTTTGCCCTTTATTGGAAGTTTGGGGGTAACCCCTTTGGAATAGGGTGAGACCATGTTATTCCCTGTTGCTCTTTC